CAACCTGCAAGGGGCTGCTTGGGGGACCCCCTGCCCCACACACCTTGGGAGGCAGCGCGTTGGGAGTGAGGGCACTGGGTTGAGACTGTTTGTTTATAAATGGGTCCTGCTACAGAAAAGGTTGATAACCACTGCCCTAGTTGACCCTCCAGCCCAAATAATTGTCCACCCCTGCTCTAGTGGCTTGTGATTTGGATCAGAGACTCAAAGTTTGATTGGGAGTTAGCCTTCTGCATGAAAATCTGCCCAAAATTGACTAGTGTATAAGGTCAAGATTCTCCACCAGTGTGCTGTTAAATCTTTTTCAAGGGTGCCATGGGGTGCTGCACAATATTAGCAATGTTAGCTGTACACCTATGCATGAATCATGAGATAAGTACAGAGTTTTCAAATAGGAATCCGTAATGTCAAAAACATTCTGCCCTCTTGTGATCTTTGCAACCAAAGAATTGCTCTATTATTTTTCTGTAGAGTTGGCATTTTTCAAGGGGTGCCTGAAGTGTAAGGCGAGGTGCCTTAGCTTGGTTTAAAGAGGTTGAGAACTCCTGGTATAAGCTTTTGAAAAAAATATCTTTGCACAAGCTCCATAGTGATGACTTTTAATTTTTTGCTGCTAACATTTCTAAAGAATCCATCCTCACTGAGCATGCACTGCATCCCATCCTTACACTGCCTGCAGCACCTCCTCAGAGTGACTGAGCATGTTCCTTCCCTGTGGTTGAGTTGGCACTAAAACTTGCCCCTGGAAATGAAATCAGGAATCTCTCTCCTATGCTTTCAAAGACATTTTTTCTTCATGGTTAGAGCACTCTCTCAGGAAGTGGGGGAGGCACGTTCCTCCCCAGCCTGAGGAAATTCAGATTCCTGGAAGTGTGTCTTAGCATTCTCCCACACCAATAAATTCCTTTCACCCATCTTATAGGTATGGCTAAGTCAAGGAAGAAACTTTCCCAAATGTCTGTGAAATGACTTGAACTTTGGATCTGACTTTCCTAAAATTACTTTGCGAGGAAATTGAAAGTACCTTAATACCAAGGTGCTGTGATGATGACAGTGGCATGGACTTTATTTTTTTTTTTTGCAATATTTGGTGTTTTTAAGAAAATCAGTGGCTCCAGTGCCAACAGTTCCTGGAGAAGAGTCTATAAGAAACTCAACATTAACCTTTTGTTTAAAATGAAAGAACTTTTCTAGCCCTCCTGGTTACAAAATAAAGCTTGAAGACACGGACCCTAAGAAAATTCTGAAATCAGAAGGCAGATGAAAAGACAGCAAGTGATTGTGACTTTAAAGTTTTTTATTCTCCCCCCCACCCTCTCTTAAAGGCCTGGCTCACACTTTTTGGACACTTGATGCTTGGCAGCACTCTTGATAAAGTCAAGCTGTTCAAGTCTTAGTTTATGCTTTTGGCCCTAATCAGACAGTTCAACCGCTGCAGATTAGGATATGCATTAAGGGGGGCCCTCCTTTGTCTCAGCATAGTGACATTTGACATTAGGCCTAAGCCAAACAAGGGCAGTGGGTGTTCTCTGTATTGATGGATACCTTCCATTTTTCTAGCTGCTTAGGAATATACTTGAAAGACATTGTATTGCTTTCATCTCACTGGATTTTGATTGAACATCGTTTATGTGGCTCACTTTTGGCTGATCCATAATAAATGAAATGCTATCTTGAACTTGGTTCTCTTGCATGATAGTGTGAGTTGTCAGCTGTTGAATCAAGCTGGCTAAATACCAAGGGCTCTGATTCAGGCCCTGAGAAAATATCAGTAACGTTGTTCCTGATTTTGACTGCTGAGAAAGGGAAGAAGGAAAGTCCAGTATTGAGGGCATGATTCTAAGATTTAGGAAACCCATGCCACTATCTCCTGTATAACCCAGGACAAAGCCCTTGAGGTTAGATCCACAAAGATTCTGAGATGCTGTACCACTCCTTTCCCTGGATACCTAATGAGGGTACTTAATTAGGAAGCTGAATGGGGTGGTGGGGTCACCTAAACTACCTAAGCATGAAATGCTGAGGTGACAGGTGAGGTTTAGGTAGTTGACCTAGCGAGACAAGGTCAGGATCCTGGTCTGTGAACATCTCCTGAGTCCCCATCTATGAAAAACCTGAAAGAGGTTTAAACCAAACTAGTAGCGGTGAGAGCATTAGTCACCGATTAATCTCAGATGCTTGAACCATCTGATACAGAGCCAGGGACTTGAACCCGAGTCTCATTGCAGGATTAGGCCACAATGACAAGATAGTCAGGGGACTAAGTTTAAGGCCAGGTGCCAGGTGCCAGGTAGTGCTCTGAGGAGGTATTGCAACTTAGATGCTTTGTGCGCACTGTTGAGAGGAGTGTGCGCCTAGGAGATTTATCTGTTCATAATGTTAGATGGCATCTAGACAGTGACTGATGTTAGTGGCACCTAAGGGCATCTTTACACATGCTCTTGGAGTGGGGTGGAGCACCTTAATTGGAGTGGCTCTCAGGAGCTGATCTAATTAAAGCACCCATAGCATCTTGTGTATTCAGTGTCCCATGCTTCAAAATGGTGGCAGGGCACTTTAACTAAAGCTCATTTGATGGGCTTTAGTTAAAGCGGCCCCACCACCATTTTGAGGTGTAGGGACACTGAATAATAGATGTGCTGCCAAAGCTGCGGGAGCTTGCTAATTAGTAAACTCCAACAGACTCGATAATTGAGACTGCTCTGACATGTGTTAATTAGCATGTCAGAGCAGGCATCTGGCATGCATATAGGTGCCCTAAGTGTCTGTCTAGCTGCAAAATATAGATCTTTTTATGGTCTGGTTCTTGCATTGTCTGTGCCTTAGCTCCTTAGCTGTAAACCAGTGCTTGCCTACTTTGCTTGTCTGCTGTGAGGATAAAGGCAGCAAAGTGTGAAGTACATGGATACTACGCTACAGGGGGGAAGAGAGGGTGACGTATAGGTAGAGAAAATCAGATTGCTTCCTGTCTGTGGTAGTTGCTTTGTTTCATGTGCTTCCAGTCCAATAATCATTAGGTGCTGCTGCAGTAATAGGGTTGAATAGCTTCCCATTGAATCAATAATGCTGCTTTTAGGGATCTTGCTGTATTCCAGAAGAACGTGTAAGTATCCCTAATCCTTTATCATTAAACTAAAAGCTATTGCATAGAAAATATTTGAATTGCTGTATATTATCTGAAAATCAACTATGTGGGCCAGGTGCCTACCATGGCAATCTTTGAGCGCTTAAACCCAAGCTTGTACTCCAAAACTCCATGCTTGGCTGCTGCCTAACCCTGGAGATGTCTACAATCACAAGGCACCTCCATATTTGATCTGAAAGCTGCTGCACAGGAGACTGTGCTTCTACCTTTGTGCGCACCCAGAACTGTCCCAGTCACAGTAGCAAAGCACCTAGCTCTGGTTTAAGTCCCTCCAAGATTCATGTAGGTGGAGCACCACCTAAGTCCATGAGTCCCTCAGTCAGGCAGGCATGCGTAAAGCTTGTCCCCACTCTTCCATCCTCCTCCAGTGACTTAGGTATTATGGTTAAGGGGTCAACATGGAATGGCATGTTCACCTTTAAATCTCAGATAAAATCTCCTCCAAGGCATCAAAAATGTCCGAAATTTATCCATTCTTGAAAGGTCAACCTGGATCATGCTATGGCAGTGGTGCTCAACCTTTTTGACCTGAGGGCCAGATGCACAGTGCCTCGTCTGTCCCTAGGCTGGATCTGCCAGTGGGCCCAATCTGGCAGGCAGGGCAGGCATAGCAAGGCCTGATCTGGCTGTGAGGAGGGGACAGTAGGACAGCTCAGTCCCAATCCAGCTGCGTAGGCAAGGAGGCATGACTGGGCCCTGATCTGGCCTTGAGAAGAAGAGAGTGTGGTCTGGCCCTGATTTGGGGGCATGGTCCAGCTCTGACCCAGCTGTGTGGGGCCTTGGGAATTTGGCAGTAGAGGAAGGGTGGCAGTATTAATTGCAACTGCTCTCCTGCTGTTAAAATGTCCTGATCTGTGAGGAGCCTTGTGGGTCAAATGCCATGGCTCTGCAGGCCAGACTGGGTCTGCAGGCCTGCACCCTTGTGCTAAGGAGACTGGATGGGAACCCTATATACACAGCATCAAAGTGTTTCAAGCTGTTTTGCTTTGAATATATGGAAAATGTAAAAGGTCTAAGTATAACATTAAAATCAGAATTAGAAGTAAAAAATACTTCAGTGGCACTAAGGTTTCATTTTGCATTTAAAAGACTGCAAGGGGCCTGTTGTGCCATTGAGTCCTATCTCCACATCTGTAGCCAAACATTGATGCCAAGAGTCCTAAACATTTTTTCTCTACTCCAGTCTCTTGCGTACCACACCCACAAAGCACATTGTGGAAACAGACCCAAAAAGTGCCCTAATAACATGCCAACAGAGAAAAAGCAGGGAAGACAAGGACATTACTAATGCCCTGCCACTGTACTAGCATAGTAATATTTCAAGTTGGTTTTATATAGATGTGAAAGTCTGGGTTTTTAGTTAGTAGTGGATAATTTATAATAGCTTATAGTTTATAATAGTTGATAGCTTATATTTTAAATTAACATGGAAGAGATGATCAGAGAAGTGACGAAGATGGCATGGGAATTAATGCCAGAATCCTTGTTTTTTCCTCCCAAAGTACACAAATAACTTGAATGTCTGGCAGTTTTAATGACTGTTAAATTCTCATGGCAAATGAATATCCAGAGTGATGATATTCTACATCTTCATTTTGACAGCTGCATACATACAGCTTTTGGGGTAATTTCAGCAGCTTTGCTGATCTAGCACAGAAGTTCCATTATCCATTTACAGAACTTGGTTTTGAATAAGCAACAATTTACATCACTAAAATGACCTTTTCTATAGATAATGTTCTCAAACTAGCTAAATGTGTGTAGTTATGTAAGAACAGTCTTCAGGAGACCTGCACCCTTTATCCTTCAACCATGCAAATGAAAGAAAATCTCCAAAGCCTGCTGTAAATGCCAATGTTATATGTTTTATTTTTAATCAAGTAATTCTTTTAAACCTCACAATATCCATGATTGACAGAAATAAAAAAGACTTTAGGCATGAAATGAGAATATAAAATACATGATATGTAGAAAGGCAATCAGTGCTTTAGTCCAGAAGACAGTAAACAGGTGAAATGACCTTCAAACGTTCAACTCAAGTCTTTTTTTAAACATACAATTCAAGTGATTTTAAAAAAATTTTCACCTTGTAAACAACATACAAGTCAAAATGGACAATGAGGCAATCTATACTACAGAGGATAATTTAAAAACACTAGATAAGACACAGTATCAAAGACATATAGAAATCAGTGTTCACTTTGGTCTCTAATATGGTTTATTGTTATTATTACCATGAGCAATACATACTAGCTTAAGTCAGACTGGTGATACTTGTCAACCAGTGTTGCTTAATGTAGTAATCCAAGAGGTAGTCAAAACCGTTATCTGTTTTAAAGCTGGTTAGTCTTACATTTGGTTTAATGACAGTGCTAGTAAATAGCTTGGTACTTTCTAATATTCTCATAAAAATGCTATCAGAGCTGTTAAACTGCAGCCCTGTTTAAGTATAAAACAAAAGCATGTTCATAGCTTGACCTCTTGTTACTAGTCAATAGTTATGACAGAGGTAACACAACCAACATATCTTAAAGAGGCTGTTGATATATAAGCAAAATAAGAGCAGATGCATTTAACAAGGCTTTGCTTGTTTCTAAAACAAGTAATCAAATTTCATTAAGACTTCTAGAAAATTAAAATCAGTGCATCTGCCCATGTACATATCTTTCCCAATTTTTTTTATATCTAGCACGGGGGAATACACATATATAATTTTTATGATAAACATTTCTTAGAGATAAATTAATTTAAATTAATTTTAAGACTCAATGAGATTTCCCATGTTCTTTATAATTCTTCTTACAAAGAATGTTACACGATCTATAAACACTTTTATGGGGCTCTATTCACAAAACTAAGGACAACTAAAGAGTAACTCTAGGATAGCACTGGTGCAAAATAAAACTGAACCAAAGAAAAGGGGTGAAAGAGGCATTAAGTTACATATAACGCTTGACAGTCTTCAAAATGTGATAAAAAGCAGAACATTTTAGAGATTTATAGTACCAAATTCAACTACAATTACTACAAAAAATAACTCCTGAATTTCTCCCTCCCAGAATGTACTCTCTCATTATACGTCTTGTTAGTGTGCAAATGCACACATTGTTGGGTTTTAACATTTACTGTGGGAAGGAAAAAACTCACATTGTCTTCTGAGGTAAGATCAAATCCAGTATCTTCTGAGAGAGAGAGAGAGAGAGAGAGAAGTTTAGTTTCACTGGGAGGTGTTCTGGCATGTACAAGAGATGGGAGTGTGGAAATGAAGTCTGCTCCAAATCTGGGTTCTTCAATAAAGAATATTTTTCATTTCATCATCAGAAGGAAAAAAAATGGTGGGACATCTGACTCTCAGACGTAAAGGAACTTTATAGGACCTTTTGCTTACTTGGAGCAGCCCATTTAATGAATCATATTTTCTATTGCAATCCAGTGCTAGTTAGTTACATGTCACAGCTCAAGCTGCTAAAGATTTAGCTTCAGTAGTATGTCTTTTTGTGAACAGTGCCCATAAGCCTTTAGACGGAAGAAAAATACTTTAAAGACTTTAAAAAAGACTTTAAAGAAATGTTTGGAGACTTCTTGCAATTTCAAATGGATGTTTCATTTTCAACAAGTATTTGCCATAAAGGATGCAGTGGTGAATTACCAATTTACATATATAGTACAGATAAAAAGGTATGTACCATAGGATCAACAGCCACCTTTAAGGCCAGAGCAGCACAAATGTGTGTTTTATGCAGTAAGTATGAGGTAGTCTTTTGCTGTAAACAGAATCATAGTTTTATTGTCACCTATGTAAACAAAGTGGGCTTGACTTTTTTTTTCCTTTTTCAGAAGGACTGAGCATTAGTAACTCACAGATGAAGGCCAATGGGCAGCCGCAGCTGCTCAGTATCTCTGAAAATCCGACCCTGTGAATGTAAAGTCACAAATGGTAACATAAGCAACCAGTACAGGCATACTGTTTTATCAGTGATTTTCACAGGAAATCATAGTACAAAAAGCTGATATCTGATCACAAGAAATGTAGGTGTATGTCAACTCAGAGGTAGTTACTAATATCAGTTCATAATACTTATATAGAGATATAAAGGTCTAAGTCTATTTGGTTTGTTCTGAGTTAGCAGGTCTGTAGCCTATTCTGTAAAGAAAAAAACAACGTTACATGGTATATTCCCTGAGCAAAGTTCTTTTGTCCTGAGTATGTTATGTAATAGTGATAACATTCTAATATACAAAAATAAAACCTTAAGCTCTCAACAATAAGATAGGTTTGGTATGTGCTCTTAGCAGTTCAGTCTGGTTTTGGTGCACAGAGGGTGCATCTACGTGTGCATTTAAATGCAACTAAATTAAATGCACATTAAGCTAATACACATTAAGCGATTTTTGGCGGGTGTCTACACATGCAGGGACTTGGCACTAAAGTTAGTGCACTAAGTTAGTGCCAAGTCCCTGCAGTCCTGCCATGTGCCCTTAGTGGCTGGGTAGACCCGGCACTAAAGTTAGTGCCAGGTCGCGTCTACATGTACATTAATGCAGTTTAACTAATTGTGCCTAAATTTGATACTTGCATTTGCAGGTATCAAATTTAGGTGTGATTAGCCTAATTTTGCCATTTTTAATGCATATTAAGGGTGTACACGTGTAGACATGCATCCATAATGCACATTAAATTAGGTTAATGAGCGTTAACGCATATTGTGTAAACACGCCCGGAGTGATTTAAAACTACACCAATAAGGTCCGCACGCCAGAATTACTTACTTCCTAATGATCTCAGCTCTGAACTTTTATATGTAAACAGGGAATGACCAGTTTCAAATCCATAATTGCCTATTTCTATAAGGAACTTTGGTTTAAATTTTCAAAGTGACCTAAGTTTTGCATCATTGCTGTTTAACCTGGTTATTACACATGCTAGAAGGTTAAGCAATTCCACTTTGATTTGTCTACATAATTTAAATAAGTTTACAATCCTTACATAAGGCAAGGAAGTTCTTCTCTATAGATACATCACATTCAATATCGTCGAAGGTAAGCTTTGCATTATAGCAGACTGAGAACATCAGTATAAACCATCGAGATTCTCACAAACACTGGTATGGAATTCAAGCAAAGTCATTCTATAGGAATTGTGCCCTTTACTGGGGCAGTTGACCCTAGTCTGTCTACTGAAGCAGCAGCAGCAGCAACAGTAAAAGTCTCATATGGCAAGGCAAGGGGAGGTCTTGCAATGTGATGAGTTAGGTGCACATCTGCTGTAACTCCACTGCAGCCAATGGAGATGCAACAGATACAAACCTGGCCCATTACTGCCTTCTCATTTTTTGATTATCTGAGCTTAAACCTGCCAGACTCAAAATTCAACAGCTCATGTTTATTGCCAATGTTAGGAATTATATAGGTTTCTTCAAATAACTTATATCTGCAATGGGATTTCTAGAAGTACATTTCTTATATATGATTTGGTAACCTACAAATTGCAAAGGGAAATGCAACTTAAATCAGTTTGGAACCTACCAAAACCTAACCCTAGGGGTTGCCAAAAGTACAGCCCACAGATCAAAGTGCAGCCTAGTGAGTTTTACAATGAGGCCTGCAAATATTCTCACCCTGAATGCAGAAGGGTAGATTGCAGCATATGCATTGGGCCACACTGGTCTCCAGGCTTCTCCATTGCCTGAAAAATAGTTGATAGTCAAGGGCTTCTGGTAAGCATGGCCAAGTTTGCATGTCCCTGCTCTAAAGCCTCTCTGCACCAGGCAGTGTTCTCTGAATACTGTACTCCACATAGATGAGCAACAGGGGATGCAGACTGGGCAATGGTGAGCACCCATTAAGCTATTATTCCCCATAAAATATTTACCCCAATATTCCATTAGCTTTGTATTTCTTTTTCTTAAAAAAAAAAAAAAATAAAAATAAACACATCCCCCAAGGACATTTTCTCCATGACTTTCAGTAGTAAACAAGGGGGAAATTTCTCTTGATCTAAGAGGGACAAAGTGGGACTTAAGAAGAGCTGCTGCTGCCGCTACCCCTACCCTCACAAAATACAAAGGGTCACCTTGGGTGGTATCCTGATACCACTCAAAATAGTCCATTCATAACCACTTACATATTCTCCCTCACACAATTCAATTGTATTAATTTAACACAACATTGGAGACACCAGCACAGAAACTACACATTCATTGTCTTTCATGGAGCCTTAATCTCCTGAACAATACAAGACTGGCAATCTGAGCCATAGTTAGTCAAGACACTGGCCTTGACAGGTACGTGTGTGCTCGTGTGGGTGTGGGGAGGAAGGGAAACATTGCTACTCTAGAGGCAACAAGAAACAAAAAATACTCCAAATAGAGGGTAAGTGGGATGTCTTAATGTCCTTAGTACCATATTATTGGCAGCTTTAAGAGATGAAGTTTTCTTTGGTTGACACGTAAGTAACAGTCGTTATCTTGATTTGTTTTTGTTTTCTTTTTTTTTAAAAGCACATTTTAAGAAGACCTTCCAGGAATGAGTACAGTATCCAAAAAACATTCTGAACCTTGACTATTGATTCACAATGGATGATGAATCCTTGGAAATGGAGAGTGTTCTGATGGAATATATATTTATATTTATATTTATATCTATATCTATATATAGAGAGAGATATATATAGATATATATATATAGATATGTATACATACATACACACAGACATGATACAGACACTTGCACGTGTGCACATCCACCCACACACACACAGGAGGTAAAACACATGACACCCTGCTCAAATGTAACTTGTTTGGAGTGATTTGTCTATTTAAAAAAAAAATTCACAGTTCCTCAACAGCAGTTAAAATTCCAGGTCAGTTACCGATAATGAAATTACTTCCCCTGTACTTGTATGAGGTAGGCATCCCAAGAGGGTAAAGAAAATGAAAGGTTATGACGCTTTAAGTTTTTTTCCTTTTTTGAACAGAAGGCCCCTTTCTGCTTTGTTCTTCAGGCGATGCAGACAACTTACTTAAGGAAGCTTCTTGTGGTGACCTGCCAGACCGCTCGGAGATCTCTGACCTTCCCTCCTGAGAATAGGATGGAGATGAATAGCTGTACGCCCCACCCCCTTCTCTCAGGAAAACAGAAGTGGAAGGCTGTGGTTCTGCTTCGTATCTTCCCTGAGAACTGGTGGGCTGTTGTGAAACAGTTTTATGTGGGCAGTTAGCCACCATGTGCATGATGCTCTGACAGTAATGGCACTTTTTTGGCTGTGGAGGTAGACTACATTCCTTGGCATGATGATCAAGGCCACCACAGTTGTAACATCTAAAAAAATAAAAGAGACACTCTGTTATAAACCAACAATTAAGAAACAAAGCTTGCATCCCTAACCAATATTTCACATAAAGATACTCAGCTCACTCACAAGAGGTTTCCATAGTGATATTTTCTGGCATTTTATTTTCTGGCACAGTTTAGGGGTAAGATTTCCAAGTGTCTGAATGAAGGCAAGGTAGAGATGCACCTGACAGACTAAGTGAATCAGAGATGTGTAAGCGTTTGCGAGCCATAGTTCACTTCATGCAGTGCTAATACTTCTGAACATTTGGTTTTTCGCTCTTAAGTCAGAGTCAGTGTAGGCTTTGATGCCTACCTTATTTGGTTGCCATGAAAACACTACTTGATTTCTGGCTGGATTCAGTTGGTTTCATTCATATTGATGACTTCCTTCCTCCACAAGCATTTGGTTAGTACTCAGAAGTAAGAGTGGTAGAATCTGGCCCTTGGAGCATGAGCTGAAGTTCACTAAAATCAGCTGGAGTCTGTCTATTGAACAAAAATCTGGCCTGAAGGGCTTAACTTATTCTCATTCTAAAGATATTTGGATATTTAAGGATTCAAATACAGGCCAATGAGTGTGGGGGGTGGCAAGTTCAAAACCAATTAGATGCCTAATTAAATGGGAGCTAAGACCCTACATGTTTTTCAAAATCCAAATGGGTCCCAAAAGGCCCTTAAAAATCTGGCCCATTGTCCACAATAACAAACTTGTAAAGGACTCTCTTGTCTGAGGCCCAGTCGTGACAGACACTGTAGACAACTGTGGTAGAATAATAAATAAAGTGAAGAATATAGATTTTATACCTACCCCTCAGTAGCAAAAATGTAAAGTCCTGAATAAAAATAAGCATTATATATATAAAAAAACATGTAAGTACAAGTGTTCTGACTTTTTGTGGCTCTCATTTACCTGTAAGGCTGCAAGAGACTGCAGCTGTTTTGGCAACACTAGAACAGTTCACTAGAGGGCACCAAATATTCACACATACATCTGCACAGCATACTGATTTAAATGGCATGTAAATTCAGTGCATTTATCCGATTAGTTATAAGAGTCAGCTGTTTGAGAGCTACTGTGTTAAATTTCATTTGATGACTGAACAAGCAGTTGTGGGGAAAAGGCCTAAAACTTCATCTTCCATGCAATGTACTGCTATACTGGCTATGTCATGGAGGGAAGAACAGCTCTCCTCTATTAGAAGCAAAATAATACAGTGAAATTAGATCATGAAAAAAAAATGAATAAGGCTCTGATAAGCAGCCTTCACAATTTACCAGACTTTTCAGCTAAACACAAGACTAAAAAAACGACATAGTGCAGTCAAATTAGGCCAACCCAAGAGAGCAGAAGGGAAATCCCCCTTTTCCCTTGAGGTATAACAGGAAGGAAACTGCTACAGTGATGCTTTTAAGGAGGAGCTCCTTCTGGATTCTTCCCTCACAAACCTAAGAGCCCACTGCAGGGAAGGCCTAGATGCAGAACGGTATTCTTCTCATTTCCTTGTAACATGGCTTCAATAGACTCCCTTGCCTACTGGCTGCCCATGACCTCCCTAAGCAGAGGCTTTCTTATGGTGGAGGAGAATGTAGTTACCTCCTCATGTGCAGAACTGGGAGGAGAAGCATTGTTCAACCTACCCAGTATAGAGCTACTTATCTCCCATCTCCAGCTGCCCTCTCTGCAAGCAAATACTGATGAGCATCCAACAAGGAGATAGAGGGGAACGCTAACATAGACCCAGATGCCTTAAAGGAGAGATCTACAGGCAAAGCATCCTCTCCATATGCAGCTCAGGAAGTTTTTGAAATACCCATTACTGAGAAGTTGCAACATGGTGCTTGCAGTGGTTTTGTTGCAGCATTTATTGTTTAACAAATAACAGTTACAAAACAGGTTAATTGTTCTCCTTGGGATCCCAGAACTTGACTAAAGGGGAAAATCCTTAAACAAACAACAATAAAAACCCAACAGCAATAACAAAACGCCAGAATAATCAAACCCCCCAAATTCCTACATGTAGACAAACAGCATCTCAGAATATTACATAGTTCTATGAATTAGTGTGGGCCAATGTCTGGGAGGCCTGCCACAAATTAAGGCTCACACACTTCCTCAGTGCCACTCTGATTCCCTTCCTCTGCCCACTTTGCTGCTCTGCTTTCTATGCCCTGACTTCTGTTCGCTGCCCAACCTGCTACTTTGTTTTGTGCTTCTGGCCCCATCCATCACTGTGCTGCCTGCTCCCTGACCCTTATCTGCTGCGTGCCACACACAGAGGCTGCCTGTACCATGCATGCTGCAGATTGGCACCCATGCCAGCTGACCACAAACAGAATGGCAACCTTGTTAACTAAGGGTGTCAAGAACTTGAAGCAACTCCTTACTGCCTGACCCAGTGGTTCTCAACTGGGGCCCAACAAGACCCTTCCAAGGGGTGCTACAAGGGTGACTGGGAAGAGCCGAGGCATGAGCCTGTGCTCCTGCTGCATTAGGTTCTCTGATAAATCTAAAGCAGGCAGGAGTTCCTGGTCCTGCTGTGGCCCTTCCAGGTCCAACGCCGTATGGCACGGGTCGGCAACCCCCGGCATGCGTACCAAGTGTGGCACATGAGGCCATTTTGCTTGGCACACCGTGGCCAGCCCCGGCTCCAGGAAGCTGCTGCCAGTGACGGAGCCTGGGCTGCTCTGAGCAGGGCTTGCAGCATCCCAACTGCCTGCTGGGAGCAGCCTGGGCTCCTGACTGCAGCATCTCCCCAGAGCTGGGGCAGCTGCAGCTGGGAGTCTCCAAACAGTTGTGCCGGGCTCCACCGGGAGTGGGTGGTTGGGGTGGGGCCTGAGGCAGTGCAGCCCTGGTCTCTCCCCCGCTCCCGGCACAGAGGTGATGAGCATGGCACAGCTGTTTGGAGCCTCCCGGCTGC